CACAACCCCTGTCATCGTTCTGCTCCTGCAGTTTGTTCATTACACACTACAGAAATGATTTAGGTTTCATTTTTTTAAATGCCAGCATTTCTTTTAATAATAATCAAATATTCATCGAATAATTAAAACGTCAAGGTAATTATTTCTGACTATATTTCGTTCCTTTTCTGATCGCTTTCATATATTTGTTAAACAGCAGTCTACTGAAATGAAAGTGGCACAGTGACAGCTGGGAACGCCACAAACATGCGTCGAAGAACAGATCAGTTTCAAGAGAGAGAAAAGGGAAATTTTTTCCCCCATTTTTCATGCATCTGAAGACACAAACAGCCATATTTCATGATTATAATAAGCAAAGACAGCCTAGCAGCTGAAAACAAATCAAAGCAAGTTTGTGCTGCTTACCTGGGTGCCATACCAAGCAGTCTGCTGCTGGTGAAGCTTTTTCCTGCTCAATCTAAAGAACATAAAGGAAACCCTGCCTATGCCAAATCCTGTGACTCATTTCTTGCCTCAGTGTGGGCGAGGGGTGTGGCTGTTAATGTACGTGATTAATTGATCAGCCATCAGCAGAAACAAACACTATCATGAAGTAATTTCAGATGAACACATGAGGGCAGAGCTGATGATTTATTGTATTAACATTCACCTGACTCTCAGTGTGGTGTGTTTACTCTCGACTCAGCTGGTTTTACAGTTACCACAGACATCTGCCACCAATACCACCCAGTTTTACACTCATTTAGTTATTTCTTAAATCACTCATGCATTCTGTTTTGCAGAACTAGCACAGCCACCAGTGGAGTCAAAAACATTGCCATTGCTGATTTTCGATTCGTAAACCACAAGCTGGTCTTCCTGTTCCTGTTCCCGTATCTCTGCAGAGAAAAGGGGCATTGGGTTACACCGCTCAATGAATGTGCCAACCACAATGTAACCGTTTCAGCCTTTTAGTGTGGCCTCCCTCCACTGCCTCTGCAGCCTCAGCGTTGATTTTACAGAGCAAAGCCGGTGACTTCTTCTTACTCTTACTTTCCCAGCTTTAACTTACACATTTAA